TAAGGAGAATAAGTACTTAAATTTATTTACAATTCATTCTTTGAAAGAACCAACTAAGCATCCTGTATTTAATGTGGATCAAATATATAGCTGGACTCCATGTAACCCAACCAACCCAACCATCTCTGCAAACTTTTTTCAAATTGTGATTTATAGAACCTTGGAGTTTCATGAGAGACTAAGAGCAAGAAAAAAAAGTCCACTCAAACACAGCCTGGGGTGTCTGCAGCAATTTTTCCATGGTACAATGGAAAGGGTGGGGCTGTTTGGCTGACATTCAAAAACTCCAACCCTGTCCGGGAGAGATATTCATATTTATGATGAGTCATTGCTTTGCTTAATTTTAATTGGATTCTGATTTTCAATTGAAAAAATCCTGAAGAAATTTGAAAACCCCTGGGGTAAGAGACAGAGCTGGAACTATAACAGCAAGACCTAGGAGAAGATACAAAGGTCAACATTCTCTTTCTTTCACATCTTTACCTGTTTTCTTGAAAAGGTCCTAACCTTCTGAGCTACCCTGTGTTGAATCTTTTCTCTCTCTCTCTCTCTCTCTCTCTTATTTCAGTATCTGACACATCTGAAATTCCTTCTGATTTAAAATAGGTTCCCTCAATCTGCCTCAACTTCAGTTTGACAATACAGTACAGGAAACTTCTTTCCAAATGTGTGTACACATACAGACTGAAATCAGACAAGAAGAATACATATTACCCCTTTCCCCAGCCCTCCCCTTTGCTAAGTCATTCTCTTCACCGAAATCCAGCTTCATTTATGGAGGTAAGCATCCAACCACAGTGCTCCAGATTTCTTCAGGGATCTAAAGAGTAAGAAGACAGGTGTGAGGGTATAACAGAAGTCTGATTGTGCAAGCCAGCCCTTAACAGCATGATGGGCCACAGGCAAAGCAGTGAACTGGGACCCCTACAACAACTACTCTCAGTAATAAAAATGTAAATGGTTGATAAAATTAAACATATATTTGAATGTTAGTATTAATAAAAATGCAGTAAAATGTAATAAATATGTTGCTGTATTTATATGATACAAGGTGCATTGAAGGGTTAACATACACAGATTAGCATGGGGCTCCTATGCTCATGGGGCCCACTGGCAAGTACCCATCAGGCCCATGCGTTAAGATAGCCCTGAACTTCCCCTGAATTTTCTCCCAAGCTTGAATTTATAACAAACACTTGTAACAAAGACAGAGAACTCTATCAGCATACAGATTAAGTAGTTCTGCATTTCTGTAACCCATTAGTATATAAATATGGCTGGCTGGCGTTATGAAGTTGTACTCGTATCTCTATACCCTCCAACAGTTAAAATAGACAGACAACCCCCATGGAGTCTCTTACCCAACAATGTCTGCAAATGCTCTCAGAAGAGGTTTTTCTTCATAAGGAACTTCATACTTGGCACACAGGGACTTTACCAACGGTGCTATCTTATGATAGTTGTGGCGTGGCATTGTGGGAAACAAGCTCGAATAAAACAGAAGAAGAAAGCATGAGGAAAGCTCAGGAGCAGCAGTTCTGGGGGACATGCCATGCATGATGGAAATAAATAGAGTCTGTTCAACAGCCAGATGAGATGGCTGAATCCAGAAGTGACATGATGGACTGTATTGCTTCAGCATCTAAAGTATGAGTACATCGCTTTGAGGCACTATGGCAAGCTTGGCTGGAGCTCAACATCTTTTGCATTCTCTCTCTCTCTTTCAGGGATGGGTTGCAAATCCCGGTGCTACCGGTTCACTTGTGCTTGTGCACACGCTTGTGGGTGTGCGATGCTTCTGCACCTGCATCTGGTGGGTGGGCAGAGCCACCTGCCGCTGCCACTACCAGTTTGCCCGATCTGGGCTGAACTGGGAGCAACCCACCTCTGCTCTCTTTCTATCCATATATCCAGGTCATTATATACACACTTGTATTATTTATATATACTTTAAACTAAAACGGTGGGGAAAGATTTCATAATCTTGTTATTTTTAATTTTTTTTCCAGTGTGTGTGTGTGTGTGTGTGTGTGTGTGTTAGCCTTTCCATTTCTAATTAGATGGAATATTTGGATGTTTTACTGCACACCAAGACAATTAGACACAAGAACAGTTTTCCCCGAATGCCATCATTCTGTTAAATAGATAATTCCCTCACCACTGTCAAACTATTCACTAAGACTGCATTACTATTCCTATTATTCTTCTCAACATTCCTATCACCCATCTCCTCCCACTTATGACTGCATGACTATAACTTGTTGCTTGTATCCTTATGATTTATATTGATTGATAGTTTTCTTATTGCTTATTTGTACTCTATGACTATTATTAAGTGTTGTACCTTATGATTCTTGATGAATGTATCTTGTCTTTTTATGCACAGAGAGCATATGCACNCTGAGTATAAAGGGAACTGTGTGTGCCACGCCCTGGTGGCAGAAGTCAACGTTCTCGTTCTTGTTCTTGTTCGCATTCACAAACCGAGAGAACTTGGATAGGTGGCTTGATAAGAGAAGCCAGTTGGCAGTGTTGTGTGAGTTATAGGACTTTTTGCCAGAGCTATTATCTTTGTTTATTTGGGCTTGCAGCCAACAAGAGCTTGGACTGATTAAAACATTCTTTCGTATGTCTGTTTGGTTTTCGTTCCTGGACGGAGAAGAGGGGGTCAGAACAGGTCTGCATTAATCTGGCAATAAATTCATCCACCTCATCTCGTAATGCTACTAGCACACTTGGTTCAATCTGTACTGTATAGCCTGGGATGTAATCCTGGTTTGTATGAAAAGCAAGGACATCTCTGTTCCCATTGGGTTCCTTTCTTTTTCTCTCCTTCCGTCTTTTTCTCCTAATGTTTATTCTATTCTACCTACCTGATCTTATTTTGCCTGTAATATCTAACATTAAATTCACAAATTGGATGCACCAGTTCTTACAGCATTTTGTTCCTTTGGATGAAGTCCCACAAGTATTTCATTGATATTGCCCTTCGTAATAAAGTGCTGCATGAAAAGACAGTATTGTTTGATGTAACAAACTGTTTCTCAACCTCAACAACTTTAAGATATGTGGACTTCAATTCCCAGCATTGAGAGATGTAGTACACAGTCACATAATGTGTGTGGATGTATGCGTGTCTATACATCAAGATACACATTAAGATTCTCATGCATGTATTTTAATGCTGAGCATACAGACTATTGCATATTTCTGAAGCACAATTCACGAAGAGAATTGTGCTGTGGACATTCATACATTTACAATGAGTGAACTGTTTCATCCACATGTTCAGATGGGGGAACATGGCAGAGCTGAAATCTGTAGCAATAATTATTTGCACTTTGGGCAAAATATAAGACAGGTGTCACTGACAATTTTCAAGAGAAGAATTCACCTCAGAAAGACAACCAATAGTTCGGCTCTTTAAAAATCAGCAGAGAACTCACATGATTCTAATTCCAAAAAAGTTTGAGACGTTCCAGAAATGCAGGAAAAAGAAAAGAAAGTTGCAGTTGTTTTGTAAAAGGAAGGAAGGAAGGAAGGAAGGAAGAAAGGAAGGAAGGAAGGAAGGAAGGAAGTCATACATGGGAGAAATTAAGATTGATCTATCCATCCTACATATATAAGAACATCCATATTTAATGGTCCATCACAACTTTGAAATCTTGGGTTGAACTTTCATACTTTTGAATGTTCACGACACAATTTGCTGAGGCTGTGCAATATTGCCTTTTTATGTGATTTCTGCAACTTTTTCCAACAGTGCCCTTTGCTGCGTACCCTAAGGAATTCTTTGTTCAGCTGACCTTCTATGCCACTTCTTCATATTATTCATGAATTGCTGTTGGATCTGTTTGGTATAACTCTTAGATAGGGTAGACAGGATATATCGGCTGGGGTTGAAATGAGTGGAACTTTGCTAAGAACCTTGGTTAACTTATTTTCAGGCCGTATTAGCATCACCTGTGTTTTTCAAAAAACCCCACTCTCCCTCTTTGTTTCTG